TTCACCACAATTTTGGTAAAATTAATGTTGAAATGAAGAATATATTTTCAGTCTAATGTTAGTGTAAAATATCATTAGGCCTTTATAATCACCGCACGACGCGCGATTATCATGGCAACTAACACGCGCGTGGGTAATTCGCCATGTACGCTGACGGTTTATGGTCTGGTTGCTATGGTTTTTGTGACGTTCAGCGTGTAGGGACGCACGTGCGCCTAGAATGTCGATGCCAGAGTTATAACCTTTGATGTCCGGAGAGATGTGCGTCCTTCTGTTGAATTGCCTTGCTAGCAGGTAGGACCTAGCTCGACAGCTTGTAACTAGGCCCACTAGTTTAGCCTCTTTTGCCCTAGCCTTTGATAGATGTACCTATTTACCACTGGTACTACTATAGAAGGGGGTACTAGCTGTTGTTGTTGTAGTACATTTGATAACAAACATTCAAGAAGCTCACAGTTAGTTACAGACGTAGCCTACATCCTATAAATCGGTAAGATTTCATAGGCCAACCGTAGGTAAACATATGTAAAGAACAGTACAGTAAAGGTAATAGAATACTCGAGCGTCACGACATTGCGAAGTGCCTGCTCTTGTTCGTATCAAACTGGAGTCGAATCAATCCGAGACGACCCGAGTGGCATTTCATGGAAATGTTTCGTACGGGAAAAAAATCGCGCCCGGGATCCAGTCAAATCGAGCGGATGCCACTTCGAGCGAATGCCAATTCGAGCGGATGCTAGTTCGAGTGAACTTTTGCGAACAACAGCCTGTGCGAGTTATGTACGAATTTACTTTAAAATTTCCTAATTTGAGCTAACAGTGTGCATTCGGCCGAGGCTCAGGCTTTGCCTCGGAGCCAGGCACTGGCGTATGGGGTGACTAGGGGGGGGGGGCGGACGCCGCTCCAAAATTGCAAGTAGTTAAAAATCACCTAAATCACCTTATTTTGTGAGTTAGCACCCCTCAACTGATCATCGAAACCCCTCATCGACCCCCCCCCCCACTTCACCTTCGCACCCCCAATCAGCACCCCCATTTCAAGACTTCTAGATACGCCACTGGAGCCAGGGAAAAAGCCCCGGTGGGTTCCGGGGGAGAAGCCTATTTATAGCCTTATTTTCAAAAAGTCGTATTTAATTGATTTATAAGGTTAACAATTTACAATTAAACATACCTACGTTCATAAAAATAATGTTAAGTCATTGTTATTTTTTACACATGCTAAGTTTTAAAAAAAAATGGGTTTTGAACTATATAGACGAATGGTTGAATAGTGGAGAAAATTGGTACCTTATGATGTCTATTTACTGTGCTGTTGGTCTTGTCACAGGGGCTGGATCCAGAATTTTTCAAACGGCGGGGTGGTGGAACATTTACAGTTTACACTGATTTGTGCACCTTCTGATACCATATACGTAAAAATAATTTAAATTTCTATGGTGAATAAAAATTACATTTACAGTTACTTCCATTTACAAATATAGGCCTATCGTAAATCTACAAATACTGTTACAACACTACGGTATATAATTCAACTAACTGGAGACAAAAACCGTAAATTCTATGTGCGAAATTCTATAGTTTTAAAGTAGGGCCTAAGTGCTTTCTAGCGGCCATGTTTTAGTCGGATTTGCCAAGACTGTAATTCAAACATGGAATAATTATCAAAAAGTACCAAAAACATTTCAGAACTTTAGTGCACAGAG